TATTACTTAAGAAATGCAAAAACATCCCTGATTACGTACATGTGAAGCAGGCTGCGATATTGTGCTATAACTAATATATACTTGGTGTCTGCCCCATTTCCTGACACAGACCTCCTAAAATCCTCATAGACAAGGAAGCTATGAGAATCTTTTGTTCTAACATTTGATCTTTAACTCCAGCTCCTTGACACACAGCTCCTAAATCCCCTGGAATTTCCTGGATGATAGACACATCTTTTGTTCTAAAGAGCTGACCCTTGGCAGGCTGCTGGACAAGCCTCAGGATGGAGCTGGTTGCCAGAGAATCAACCATTTGATTGGAGAGTTGCAAGTTTCAATCTCATCCTCTTACCTCCAGGGAGCAGAAAGAGGCTCAAGGTAAAGTTCATCACCAATAGCTAATGATGTCATCAATCATGTCTACATAATGAGTCCTCCAAAGAACCCAAAATGGCAGAGTTCAGATAGTTTTCTTGTTCTGAACATACTGGGGTCCCCAGAGGGTGGGACACCCAGAGTAGGTACAAAAGCTCCACATCCTTGCTCCCTGTGTTGCTCTAGGCATCTCTTCCACCTGGCTGTTTATCTGCATTCTGGTCACAGCCTTTATAATAAACCAGTCATCCCAAGTATGTCCTTGAATAATGTGAGCTGCTCCAGCAAATTAATCAAACCCAAGGAGGGACTGTGGGAATCCCAGTTCATAGCCAGTGAATCAGAAGCATAGCAGCAGGAAGCTGACAGCTGAAATGGGATAGGGCAGTTTTGGGGACTGAGCAAGCCATTAACCTGACGCTACCTCCGAGAGTAGATAGTGTCAGAATTGAGCTGGATCAGAGGATGACCAGCTGGTCTGTGCTGCAGGACTACTTGGCAGGATGGGGAAACCCACACACATTTGGTGCTGAGAGGTACACCAGAGAGGAGGAAAACACTTTGCTTTTTCCTGTTTCTAATTGTTGGTGTTCCCTGGAGAATTGATTGGTTGTTAGTTTGGAGAAATCCCCACACAACTTGCTGATAGAAGTGATGGAGAGAGAGAGTAGGAAAAAGACTTTTTCCTCATCTCTGACAGCAGAAGGGGAAAATTATTAACCCAGACCCAGAGCACATCTACCTGGTTACCAAAATAAGTAAGGAGTGCTTGGCAAATTCACAAAGCAAGGATCCCAGAAAGCAGACCTCACGCGGCTCAGAGAGGAATCCCTGCGGACACACAGAGCAAAAAGTCTCCTGCTTCCTCCACTTTCCTAGAGCAGGGGGTTCTTAGACTTTGGACTCAGGCCAAAAGAGTGTTGGTCATTTTCCTTGAAGTGACAAGCTAAATTCATGTTTAAAAAAATGTCTGACTAATGCCCGAGTCTGCAGACCTGTGATCTGTCGTTCCTGATTAGAGTGTGGATTGGTGAGAAAGCAGAAGGCTTCCTTCACAGGTGCTTCCCAGTTTGTTTAAAAAAAAAAAAAAAAACAGTATGAAAAAAAATGCAAGAGTCAAGGTTTTTATAAAGTCATTTTTTACTGCTTTGTAGAGGTCATCGTTAATGGAACTGGTCTTTTTCCTTATTATTGCAAGTGGCTGTCATGGAGGCTAAGCCATTGCCTCAGATTCCACCAAGACAACAGCAGTTGTGCACACTAAGGCTCTTGCGTTAGCTGCGAAAATGTCAACACAGTGAAAACAGAAAAGACACGTTGTGAAAATAAGTTTGACCTCAAAGACCCTCTGAAAGGGTCCTCATGGGTACAGACCATACTTTGAGAACCACTGTCTCAGAGAATAGGAAAACCAACTTCAGAATTGGTTTTCACTGTTTTATAGTGCAATAAGTATATAGATCATTTAAAAACAATTAAATGTGTCTACACTTTAATTTTTAAGGATTTAAGAGTTCTCAAATAATAAACAACAATTAAACATAGAAAATACTAACTATGCAAGGTTTGGCTCAGCAAAAGGTAGAAGCATCTCTAAGCCAAAGCAAGATCAAACCCTTGTTCTAAAGCACCCATCTGAGGAAGTCACTGACTATGAAACTCAAGTACTTAACAACGTCAATGGATTGGAATGAAATTTATACGGCAGCTCTCAGAAACCAGTAATAACCATTTACCAGTTTTAAAAGCTAAAGGTGCAGTTTTTTTAATATTGGAATATTTATCTGCCAATTTTAGTAACTGGTAAACTATTCCTCAAATGAGGAAAAGTAATAATTTAGTACAGTTTTCAGTGACAAGGAACATAGACTAGCCATGCCTGGGTTTCCATTTGTGAGTGGGTTTCCAACTCATAAGTTGTTGAGTTATATTGGGAAACTCTTTTGCAATGCTTATGGTATGCATGATTATACAAATATTCTTCTTACAACAAAAAGGCACTCCCAAATAATGATGGGGATGTAAGTGATTTCTAATAATAAAAATACCTTTTGATGTACCCTATATAATTAAAGAGAAAGGCTAGGGGTGTAGTTCAGTGACGAAGTGCTTGCCTAGCATGCATGAGGCTCCAGCACCATAAAAAAACAGAGACACCCAAGGCAGAAATCCATTAATACACTTGTTATAAACTTTTGTGAAAGGGAGATGCTGACCAGTCCAAACATTCCTCCAGCCTAACATTGCACCTGGCACTTAGGAAGGCACCACATAGCACTCTGGGGAAGAGAGGGGAGGAGAAGAGAGTAGAGAAGGGAAAGGAGGAGAAGTGAAGAGAAAGGGAGAAAGGAAGGGAGGGTAGGGAGGGAGGGAGGGAGGGAGGGGATGGTAGACAGTACAGCAGGATCTGTCAACAGAGTCTGATTTCTTGAGGACTTTTGATTTCATCTGTTTGAAATAGACTAGAGAATACACATCTATCTAAATACAAACCTACTCTTAAATATTGATTTTTTTAAGATGCCAATTTTCCCAACACATGAGAAAGTGAGAGAACACATTCTATTGGATATACTAACGCAAGCAAGAAGCAGCCACTTTCTGAAGTGCCCCTCTTCCTAGAATAATAATCTTTATCAATTAAAATTCATCAATGGAACAGACACTGTACACAGAATTCCAAGACAAAGAGGATATTCCCTGTGTTATATGCAACACAGATGGTACAAGGTTCGTATGGTAACCCTTAAAGTCTTCTGCAAGCATCCAAGATTTTCAACAAACTTGAAGAGGAAGGGAAGATAGCCCCTTAAGCTCCTGGCATATTCCATTTTTCATGAGTGGACTTCATCAGGCTTTTTAAACTCTTTCTAGCCATCACTTTTAAGCAGTCGGGAATTTGCCAAAAAAAAATTAAGACTTCAGATACCAGAGAAAGTGATACACTTCAACACATCAAACCAACTAACAAGCAGCAGAATTCACAGGTTTACAACTTGACCTTTTCCCTTTCTCTGTCCTAATCACGGGTGCGGTAAAATAAAATGAATCCTTGCACTAAAATGGATACAATAAAACTATGACCAATTTTATTAAAGCTATATCAACTTAAAAATGGTAATTTTTTAAATCTGTTACCTAACGGAGGATGGCTCTGGACCTTCCCACTTGGATGATCACAAGCCAACACATGCTTAGAACTTTACTCCCAAACTGGATTTTTCATCATTGATGCAGGTGACACAGAATGCATGTATTCCCTCACTTTTGCAAACTAGATTTCAAAGCTCAAGTTATAGTATTAAAATGTGTGACAATCTTCAGACTAAAATAATGCCCTAAAATGCAGTAGTCTGAATACATTATGCCATTACACAGGTGCTAATTAACTAACAATGAAATGAAATACAGTCAACACAATCTCACAGCTAGAAGGTCTTTTTAAACACTGAATAATCGATTGAAATTCTTCCCCTTCCAAATATTTTTCTTTTTGCATAATTTCAGTTTATCTGCAAATAGCATATCATCGACCTACAGTTGCCTTTGACAGCCTATTTGATTACAGAACATTTTTCAGTAAATTTTTCTTATGCTGTATATCATCCATCTATCCAAAAGAGATACAGAAAGTGAAACAGTGTTGTGAATTAATGTCAATACCAATTTTTATAATATGTAATTGAGTGTAACCTTCTTAGAGGCATGGGTAGTTCTAACAACAAATTACATAAATGCTCAAATCTTCATCCAAACCATTTCAAAAAGATGAACTTCAGTTTTTAAAGACAATGATTTTGAGCTGCTCCTCCACTACCTGTGTCTAAAAAAGCACAGGTAAAAAATGCACATTTCCATTGAAGACACACTTTAAATTGTGCTCGCAGTGTTTGGGAATGAACACCATGTGTTCATTGTAAAATTGTAAAATTCTGTTAATGCACCATGAACTACAATCTGCTAATTTTACTAACATGCTCATTTTAACCATAAGTAAAAAGAAACCTACTTCCCCTACCAAGGAAAGGAAAACATTCCTCAGAGTAGCAGAATCACACAAACTTCAAATGTGAATATGCAAACTATATTAAATCTCAGTCTAGCACAATTCCTGGCTTAATAGATAGATAGATAACTAAAGACCTCAATTCATAAATTTAATTCATACTTTAATAAGAAGCCTAATGGACAAGTACAAAATTATTTGCACTGAATCTATGCAATGGTATAAAAACAGGTGCAGGCGGGTGTGCTTGGGGAGGTGGGAGACCCTGGTCCCGGGGGAGGGGATCCATGTCACTGACGTGCGGAGCCAGCCTGCCCCGGGGGATGTGTGGCGGGGCAGCGACTTCCCTGGCAGTCCTGCCCGCATGTGTGCCAGTGGCCGGGCAGCCGGGTTCGCGCGTGTCATTCCGGGCAAGAGTTCGGACTCCCGCCTGCTCTCCAAGTTCTCCGAGTGAGTCAGCCCTGGCGTGGAAGCGCCTGGACTTGAGGGGGCCTGAACACCGGCGCTCCCCAGGGCGCCGGGACCTCAGACTAGGGAAGGTCTGGGATGCCCATGTCCGGCGCCGCGAGAGGGACGGCGCGCGGTGTCTGTCCGTGCGCCCAGCCCCGCGCGCACTTACCAGATGAAGTCGGTGCAGTGGCTGCAGAAGGTGGGCTGCTTGAAGAAGCGGGCGATGAATCTGTGGTCCTTCACCTCGTGCACGTTCTTCTGTCGCAGCGCCCCTTTGCGGGCGAAGCGGTTGGCCACGTCCTGAGGCGCCGTGGAGTCGTTGGCCGGGAAAACGTCAGCCATGGTCCCCCCACCACCTCTTGCCTCCGCCGGAGCAGCAGCCCGGGAGGCCGGGGTGGCGGGGGGGGGGCGGCGGGAGAAGGCAGCGGGGCTGCTGGCGACCCCGGGCGATGGCGCGGACCGGTGCCGAGGTCGCTGCGAGGAGGCGCGCAACGACGAGGAGAGTCGGGCTGGTGCGAAGCGGAGGGGAGCCGGAGTCGGAGCAGCTCACTCGCTCGCTGGCCCCACGCTCACCGGCAGCCGGGCGCCGGGCGCTCGTGCTTTCTACTCTGGGCGGCAGAGGCGGCCCGTAGCGGCGCCGCCCACCGCGCATGCCCCGAGCGCTAGGGCGCGCGAGCCGGTGGCGGCGCGGGGGGGCGCGCGCCGGAGTGGCGGCGCGCGCGGGGCAGGGCGCGCGCGGAGCGAGCTGGCCCGGAGCTGCGCTGAGCCGGCGGGACGCGGGCACTGGGGAATCGACGCCTCCGCGCGGGCGGAGCGGTCGGGGGAACCGGAGGAGAAGGAGACAGCGGCAGCCACGGCCCTCGGAGGGCCAGCCAGAGTTTGCGAGCGGAGGAGGAGACCGGGAGGGGCGGGTCCGTTCTCCTCCGCTGCCTTTTTCTTTTCCTCCCTTTTCCTCCCCTTCCTCCTCCCGCTCTCCTCCCTCTTTATTCTCCTCCTCTTCTTCCGCTCGTCTCGCCCGGCCTCCTCCTCTCCCCACCTTCCTCCTCCCACTCCCGCTCTCTCCTGCTCGACTTTCACCTCCTGGCTCCTTTCTCCTTTCTGGGATCGAAGTTCCGCGCCACCCATGCCTGCCCCAAAGGAACCCGAGTCCCAGAAAGGGACCCTGGGTCCTACCCTCCGGGCCGTCCCCCCACCTCTGCGCTCGTACCGCTGGTGGCTCCCTCCCCAACTTCCTTAATACGCTGATATTTCCAGGGCACGATGCCCACGTTTTATCAGCCTGTACCGGTTTGCGGTTTTACCTGGCTAAAAGTCCCTCTAATCGTGTATGCCAAAATGCTTAATCCCCAGACCTTCGTACGTGTTGTGTAGACTGCAGGAGAAAACTGTTTTTAATAATTGAACCTTGACCCTCTTACAAACCCAGGATCTTTGACCTACAGTCCACCTGGGTGTTGTATAGACAGCAAGTTTGCACGCCAGACATTATCACCACGTAGGATACTTAAAGGATTTGTCCTATTCATTGGCTATCGGAGTTACAATGTTGATTAGCAGGCTTTCTTGATTTTACAAGTCCAGAGCCTTAATTTAGAAATCATTTTGCATCCTAAGCTGATTACTGCAACACTGGCAGGTGCAAAGTGCATCCAGAACATTTGTAAATTACTAAGTAAAACTGCTTGTGAAAGAGTAGCTGGCATGGATATGCAAAGGACGCAAGTGGGAATGGACCAACTAATCACTGGATGAATATTTATTAGGTCTGAACCACATAAGGGAAACAACTATCTCCCAGCATTTCATTATTGTTTTATTTATTGCTAGATTCACCCAAGTTCACAACACAACTTCTTGAACTAAAGACAACCAAGAAAGAGAACACTGTTTTAATCTCTCAAAGAAGTTTTCAAAAGAAAAACTTTTCTAAGATATATACAGCAGCCAGTTTTTTCGAGACTGCCTAACTGTGATTCTTGATGATAAGAATGTCTATTATATTTTAACCAGTGTGAGCTATGGATTGACCGTCTGAGGAGTATGCACTTGCCTGACCCATTTACAATCTCTTGAGCCAATGGTGTTGGTGTCTCAAGAGATTGCACCTGCTTGATGATATTCTATCTGGTCAGAAATTTCAGCACTCATGGTGGCCTTTCCAGGACACTGAAGCAAAAAAGGAAGAGGCAGGAGAGGAATGAAAAGCAAGGCATGATGGGGAAATAGTTCAATTTCTCCACAAAAACAGTATAAACCATCTGGAGTGATGGTTTTTTATATAATTGTAACTCAAATGGAGTACAGTTAAATGAAAACACAATTTTCCCCCAGAACCATGTTTGTCTAAAACGGAGGTCCTCACACATTTTTGGCGACAAGCATCTTCCTGTTTCCCTGAGCCATCAGAGAGGGAGAGTGGGGTTGCAGATGAATCCCTGAGCAAAGCGATAGGGAAGGCAAGTGAGAACCAGATGGACCCAGCAGCAGCCTGCCCTCTCCTGTGTACAATGGAGCAGAGTGACTGCCCTTAGCTGAAAGATCAGATGCAGGCAAGGGTCTCTTTCCTTTCAGGTTGTAGCTCTGCTCTCTTGTGTCAGTTGCTGCTTCCTTACAGGATGGGAGGATATGACTAAGTGGAAGTTGGTTGATTGACAGTTGGACTGGGTGTGAATACATCAATTGCCTACATCTTGGCTCATTTGGCACAGAGGGAGTGGTGTGCCTGGGGTAGGGAATTATCAATTTCCAAGCAGTATAGTCACGCTTCTAGCAAGAACTGATGCAAATGGTGGGCTGCCATTCACCCATGCAGCCCACCTGAGAAGTCCCTATGGTCTAGCTAAGACAAGAGATTAAGGAAGGGAGAATCCCGGGAGGGGGTAGCCCAGCAGTCATGAGCATCAGTAATTATTTTCAAGTCTGCTGTTTGATGGAGAATGTGCAGGAAATGAACACTACTTTGACAGAATCCTTCTCCCCTGCCTTTGAGGAATAAGCTCAAGGCTCTTTGGAGCGGGACCCGAAACCTGGGGCTGGAGTCAAAGTCATGGCATTACACTGATGATTTAGAACCAGAATGGTTTACTTAAAACCAACAGCCTTGAAGATACAACTTAAAACTTGTTCTATGCAACTAACTAGTCTTTTTCAAATAGACCAGGCCATTTTCAAATTAAGTAGTAGGAATTGTCTAAGTATAGAAAAAGCTTGATTCTCAGATTTATAGCAGCTAAGATTATTTTAAAACATGTTTTATTCTATGTATTATATTCAAAGTTTGGGGGATGTAAGGCAATTGATGGAATGCATAATTAATCAGGTTAATTATTATATAATAATAAGATTCAGTGACTGGTAGGTCTGGAAGTAAATAAAGACAAGAGTCTAGCTAAGAAGCAGACATAAGAACGAGCCATGGCTTAGGAGCAATAGATCGTAGGTAGATGAGTCAGAAGCCCCAGTCAGAAATGAGTTCCAAGACCTCCAAGTACACCATGCAGGCTGTTCATGGCACAAGAGCATGCAGTTGAGAGATTGAGAAGAAGATAAAACCTAGGTCATATACTCTTCAAAAAGCCATGCGCCCTTGTCTTCCCAGAAGGGGCACCGTTTTCCAATTCGTGCAAAGGTACCTAGGAAGCCCTGGTCAACATCATAGTGATTCCAATTGATGACAGAGCTTCTGAGGCCACCTCCCAGGGTTTAAGGTCTGAGGTCTTGCCTTCTAAACTAGCCACTGTTCCAGGGGCCCTCTCCGTCTCTATCTCACAGCATCACTAGCCATTCAATGACTCAAGTTGAAAACCTGGCATATATGCCCGTTCTCCCTTTACTTCTTCATCCAACCCATGAGGAAGTCCTATTGACTCTACCTCCTGAGCAGAGCTCAAATCTGCCCATAGCCCCCGCTCTATCCTCCATCATCCTTTTTCTGGAGCACTGCAGAAACTATCTAATCCTCTGTCTGTTTTTGCCCTTTTAGTTTGGACTACACAACATAAAATAGGCAAAGAGTATGGAAAAAAAACATGTAGGAATAAATATCCTAGTAGATATTAAGAAGAAAAAGAATAACAAACCCAGTAGAAAGTAAAAGTAAGCTGGGTATACACACCTATAATTCTGGCACTCAGGATGATAAGACAAGAGGATTTTGAATTTGAGGCCAGCAGAAAGGGAGAGAGAAAGAGAGGGAGGGGGGAGGGAGGGGAGAGAGAGACAGAGAGGGAGGGAGGGAGATGAAGAAAGAGTTGTGGAGGTTATGGAAAAGTGTAGGATAAACTGAAACGTTACCTGGAACTTAGAGAGTAATTGTTAAATAGACAAAAAACATCCTAGGCAAAGGCATAGCTGCAGCAGTAACCAGGCTTTAGTAGAACAGTCTGCTGCAAAGAATTGGGTTAGGAAGCAATGAAAGATATTATAAAAGACCTTGAATATGAACTGTAGGGGTTTGAAAGTTACAGTGAGATGTGGAGAGTCACTAAATGTTTCCGAGGAAGAGCGGCAAATGATTAAAGCAGGCGGATTTGTTGTTTGGTTTGATTTTGATTTTGGAGACAAAGTCTTGATAAAAAATGGATTTTTTAAAGAAGTTGTGGGATGAGTGTAAGGGTTCTCAAGGTTAGGCACTGGAAGCTGGTCCCTAGGATTAGTTCTTATGAGAGCAAGTTGTTAAAACCAAAGTCACCAAAGTTCCCTCTGCACATGGTTGTTTCCTTTTGTGCTTTGCTACCACATTGTGACACAGACTCACCAGAAGATAAATAAGCTGGGACCATCAACCTTGGACTTTCAACCTCCAAATAAACCCTTTTCTTTATAAAGAATTTGGCCTTAGGTATTTTGTTACAACTACATAAATAGGCAAAGAGTATGGAAAAAAAACATGTAGGAATAAATATCCTAGTAGATATTAAGAAGAAAAAGAATAACAAACCCAGTAGAAAGTAAAAGTAAGCTGGGTATACACACCTATAATTCTGGCACTCAGGATGATAAGACAAGAGGATTTTGAATTTGAGGCCAGCAGAAAGGGAGAGAGAAAGAGAGGGAGGGGGGAGGGAGGGGAGAGAGAGACAGAGGGAGGGAGGGAGATGAAGAAAGAGTTGTGGAGGTTATGGAAAAGTGTAGGATAAACTGAAACGTTACCTGGAACTTAGAGAGTAATTGTTAAATAGACAAAAAACATCCTAGGCAAAGGCATAGCTGCAGCAGTAACCAGGCTTTAGTAGAACAGTCTGCCTGCAAAGAATTGGGTTAGGAAGCAATGAAAGATATTATAAAAGACCTTGAATATGAACTGTAGGGGTTTGAAAGTTACAGTGAGATG